AAAAAGCGCGATCAATATGACGTTCACGCTCCAGTGCCACAACTCGAACTACCTCGAGATGCTTCCGAGTGGCCGCATTGCGTGCAGCGCAGCCAACGCATCGCAATCCTCCACGCTCTTTGACGTGATTGACGTCAATGGACTGTACCGGTTCGAGACGCCGTTCCAAACGCTGACGCTCACCGACCAGCTCATCTCGGTGCTGCAGTTGATCGTGACCGACAACATCTTTAACGCTGTCCAGAACGGGTCGCTCCTCAGCATCATCATGTTTGCACTGCCGTTTGGCGTCGCGATCGCCAAGTCGTTTGCAGGACCTATCTCGGACAACCTTCTCGTCGTGCTCATCAAGCAGACGCGGAATGCGATGCTGATTCTGATCAACACGGTCATGCGCCTCACGCCGATCGCAGTGGTCTTTTTAATCGCATCGGCTGTCATTTCGTTTAGCTCCAACGCCAACAACGTCGCGGGTCAAGTGGGTTTCGCCGTCCTTGCGTTCGTGCTTGGCAGTATCAGCCACGTCTTGCTCGTCATGCCGATCTTTCTCTTTCTGACGACGCGCATCAACCCGTACAACTACCTCCGACAACTCACGTCCGCGTACGTCTTTGCCTTTGGCTGTGCGTCGTCGATGGCTGCGCTGCCCATTGCCGTCTCGTCGATCCACCAGACCCGCCAAGTGTCGCGGCCGTTTGCACAACTCATCATGACGCTCGGGACACCCGTGAACCTCAACGCGTGTGGCATGTACTATCCGATTCTCGTCACGTTCATGGCCAAGATGTCGGGGAACGGCGACAGCCTCGGCTTACCGCAGTGGATTGTCATGTTTTTCGTCAGCATCTTGGCGTCCATGGGCACGGCGCCCGTTCCCAACTCGGGCCTTGTCATGCTCATTACGGTCTGGAAGACGGTCTTTCCGAGCAAGGACCTGCCCGCGGCATTTTCGTACGTCGTCGCAATCGACTTTATCATGGACCGCATCGCAACCATGGTCAACCTCAACGGCAACATGGTGGTCACGCGCATTCTCTCCGAGCAGGTCGACGAAGCCATGGAAGTCTGGGCCAACGAGCAGATTGTCCGCTCCGACTTTCCGACCAATGTCGTAGCGTTTTAAAATCCGTCGACGCAACCCAACTTGTGGATATTACTACCCAACAAGATTAACGTGTATATTGACACTAACGACCATGTTGGTGTTGCGTTCTTCCTCGCTTTTCGAACAGAAATCGCAGTGTGGACTCGCGATGGGTGCAAAGGCCGATTTGTGCGCGTCACCAAGTTGATTTTCAAAGCGATCCCGTCGACTTGAAGACTCGATCGTGGCCCACACCACGACACTGTAGAGCCCAACTGGCGCGTATGCTGTGAAGGCTCTCGCGCGCGTCACTTTTTTCCTGTCTGGAGGTTGCAACGCGCCTCATTCGTTCTTCAATGTACGTCCAAAAACAGCATAAAACACAAACTTCATCATTCTTCATGTCGTCGAGGTATTACGCCAAGAGGTGCGTTGCCTCGGACGGCGCGAGCTCTTTCGTGGCGTCGACGTGCGACGGAATCGTACACGAAAAGACGTACAGACCAAGCAGCGCAAGCGGCACGCCGAGGTCCGCAATCGTCCACATAAAGCTCGCGCCGTACGTGTTGTAGAGATACCCGCCAAGCATGGTGCCGACGCCGCGCGCCAACCCGTTCTGGACGGCGCTGAGGATGCCCATCATCAAGCCTTCCGTGCCGCGCGGGGCTTCCGCATAAATGTACTTGGTGCTTGCGGCCCACGCGAGGCCATACGTGCAGCCGTGGAGAAACTCGAACGGCAGCGCAATCCACGCGTTCGTCATGAGCGCATAACACGTGAGCCGCGCGCCATAGGCCAGAATCGAGATCGCGAGCACCTTGACCGTCCCGAGCTTGGCGATGATCGTATCGGCAAAGTAGAAGGCCGGGAGCTCCGAGAAGGTTTCGCACCAAATGGCGATACCGACGATCTGCGCCGACCCGCCGCTGAGCTCATACAAGTTGAGCGTCAGGAACGCCGAGATGACTCCAAACATGGTGCCACTGAGGAAGACGACGAGGAGCAGGCCGAGCACGTCCTTCTTTCGAAAGAGCGTTTGGAGGCCGGCCGAGAACGAGGCGGGCGGCGACGAAGCCGCGCTGGACGGCGACGTGCACACGCCGTCACACGCTGGAATCATTTGCAAAAACACAATCGCTGGCACGACAAAGATCAAGTTCATGTAGAACGCCCACGAGATGCCGTAGGATGCGACGACGACGCCGGCCACGTACGCGCCGATACCGTAGCCGACGGCACCGTAGAGCCGCTGCTTGCCGTACTCGGCGCCGAGGCGCGTCACGAGTGCAAGGACCGTTTGATCGAGGAGCGGCCACGAGGGCTGCGCCTGGTAATTGGCCAAAAAAACGAGCACGCACGTCCAGAAGAAGCTTGCCGAGGCGAATGGGATGGCGTACATGAGGAGAGCCCCCGAGAGGAGGCAAAAGATGTGGACGAGCCGCTGCTTTTGGAGAACGTCGGCGATCGCACCCCACATGGGCGGCGCGAGCATCGAGCAAATGCATGGCAGCGTCTGCAAAATGCCGATCTGGAACTTGTCAAAGTACGTGTTGAAGTAGACGGGGAGGAAGTTGAGGACGGCGCTGAAGCCAATGTTGAAGAGCGTGTAGACAGCCTTTGGCGGCAGCAGCGCCATTGTGTGGTCGGTCTCGGCCATGATGCTCGTCGCTCGGCAAGACAAAGGAAAACTGAAATCCAGCGAGATTGGAAAACCGACAAGCGACCGTGATGCACCCAATCGGCGACCGGACGACCACGTGCACCAATCAACGCGCACACGACGTCGGTAAGAGGATGACATGCAGGTTCCTTGCACCTGGGAAAGGACGCACTCCTTTGCACACACCTAGTTTCCGCAGTTGGGCATACCCAACCGTGAAGAATCCTGTGAGCGTGGGTGCGCCAAGGCCAAAAGACACGAGGTCAAATGCCACCCACGAGGCAGCTCCGACCCATGTCCACGCACCAAGGCGACAGTTTTCCCCTGGGCAGTCATCGCATCACCCAAAATCTCGACGAGTCGATACGCGCCACCAGCGTCGCGTCGTTATCCCTCTTTGCTACAGTATCCTCTTGCTCTCTGAACGAGTGATGGGGCAAGGCCACGGTCCAGTTTGTCGCATGCGGCTTCAACGCTTCAACAAAGTGATGACAGCGGCGAGCAGCGCCACGCGTATTGCAGGGGCCGCATCTCCCCAGGCTGCGGATAGACGGAGATGAAGAAAAGAGGTTAGCGGCCGTCCCCGGTGAAACACTGTGGCCGCACAAGGCATTGCGTCGGAGAAAAATCAACCACATAGGTGTGTCCAGCAGCCTGGTCGTTCTTCCTCTGAGCTAGTACACTATACAAGAGGTACTTGGCAAATTGCGAAACCTTGCCAACCAACGGTTTGGCATTTATAGATACGTTTGAATCGATTCCCTGTCGTTTTTCTCCTGCAAACATAAATTGAGCTTGACCATGGCCTTTTTAGAAGCGCATGGGATTGGACAAAACATCGCATACCGACCAATCAAACGCCGTCAAATCATTTGGAACGTCACGACAAGGTGCCACGACTTGAGTTGGATCGGTGCAACCCCGCACCACGACCAAGTTCTCATATACTTATTCCCTCAACACAACCGAGCTCGAAATCGGGCCCAACTTCTTCAATCACGTGTAGTTCCACAAGGTCATCGGCACGATCGCGACGGTTCGCAACCGGCGCGTGGGCCACGCATGGATTGGCCGCGCGCCATCGTCCGGGACGGTCCTCTGGCTCCTCACCACGGCACCGCTCGCCTCTCATCCGGCCTTCATCTCGCAGTGTGCAACGAGCTTTTGTAGTGTCTCTGTGCACCTCATCTGCGGCACCTCTCCTTCTCCCTAGCTCCTGTACACTATCGTCGTCCATCATGAATACAGTATACCTTGAGCTCTTCAAGCCAAGAATGATCGTAGGCTTCGAGTTGAAGCCCCATGAAAACAAAGCAACCTTAGAGTTCGTGAGTGTTCGTTGTACGTTGCATATAGCAAACTCTATTACACCAAAAGCGGACTCGACTCGGCGGCGGTCGCCGTCTTGTGCGTTGGCATCGTGCACGAAAAGATGTAGAGACCGAGAAAGGCGAGCGGCACGCCCATGTCGGCCGCCGCCCACATGTAGCTCGCGCCGTACGTGTTGTAGAGGTACCCGCCAACTGACGTGCCGACGCCGCGTCCGAGGCCCGTCTGTACCGCGCTGAGGATGCCCATCATCAAGCCTTCCGTGCCGCGCGGCACTTCGGCAAAAATGTACTTGGTGCTCGCAGCCCACGCGAGGCCGTATGTGCAGCCGTGGAGCAGCTCGATAGGCAGCACATACCACGCGTTCGTCATGAGCGCATAGCACGTGAGCCGGATACCATATGCCAGAATCGAGATTGCGAGCACCTTGACGGTCCCGAGGCGGTCAATGATGGCGTCGGCAAAGTAAAACGCCGGGAGCTCCGAGAAGGTCTCGCAGAAGATCGCAATACCCACGATCTGCGCCGACCCGCCGCTGAGCTCATACAAGTTGAGCATCAAGAAGGCCGAGATGATGCCAAACATGGTGCCACCGAGGAAGACGACGAGGAGAAGGCCGAGCACGTCTTTCTTTCGAAAGATGATGCGGACGCCGTCGACAAACGACGGCGACGCGGGG